TTTTGTCTTTGCTCTGCCAGCACTTCACATTGATGAATAGGCTTTGTCAGATTATTATCAACATAGTGTGGTGTCAAACTGCATTACTCTACGGTTATGTGCCTCAGAGCTACACGTTTGACATGTAACTCTGCGTGTTCTCCTAAAGGATTTTAAGAGTTCCCCTCAGTCTTGTACACAGACAGACCTGTGGTATCAGGGTCATGTCTTCAAGCTATTCACCTTTATGATTCTTTTCTTCCACCATGAAGCTATAGTGCAGCATTGTGAGCTGTATATTTTCAATCCATTGAGATGAAACCCAATTGAGAAGGTTCACTGATGAGTCAGTCTGCCGTCAGGTCGCCACATTTGTGTGGATATTTCCAACTATAGTAATTCTTGTAGTCCGATGTTTTCTGTCATCTGTTTCAAACTCTGTCCAAAGGCGAAAAATAATATGTGACAGCACACAGCTAGAGTGAAAACCAGTTCAACATTTTATCCGTTTTAATCAACATCAACAAGAGGCAACTTGACATGGAATTAATTAATATAATTACTTTCATGTGGATTTAATTTTGTACCATAGCAGCTTGATCTTTGGAGCTGTCAACTCCCTGATAAAAGCAGGGAGGAGAGCGTTACGTTTGTACATGGCCACAGGCGAGCGCAGAGTGCAAAGTGTCAAAGGCTATTTTTAGAGTGACTGAGGCCCAACAACTGGGCTGTCTGACATCGCAAAAGAGTCAGATCCCATGTAGAAATCAGGAGGGGATTTATTGATATTGTTAATATTTAATTATTTATTTTTTCCCCATGTAAAAATGTAAATACCATGATACACTACCGATCAAAAGATTCGGGTCAGTAAGCTTTTATTTTAAATGCTTTTGAAAGAAGTCTCAACAAGGCTGCATTTATTTATAACAATAGAGTAACAACAGTAATATTGTGAAATGTTGGCAGTTTCAGTTCGCAGTTTTTCCTCTTTGTCGCCATCTCTGTTCAAAATTTGCAATTGCAATCATTCGCGGAAATATTAACTTTGCATTAAGTTGAGTTGTACTTCGACACAGCACAGTGTGGATGAACACAACGTTTGAGGAGAATGTAAGGCTGTCAGTCACCGCGCCGGTGTGGATACTGTCATTCAGAATCACAGATTATTCTTTTCGGAAGTATGACCAACATAAGAATTTTCACTGGAAAATGTCATCTGAACTAGTAAGAAACATCCACTTTTGTTCTGGTTCTGACATTGCAGCAAATCGCGCTGATTAAATCTAACAATTGCTTATAAGTTATCATATCACGAAAAAAACGTGCAAATGATACTTTGTTCTCAAATTGTTAATGTTTACAATGTAAGCAAGCGTTGTAGTCATTACACTGACAACATGTAATGTCCTTCCAACATGTAATATGCATCCTTGATTTCGCATAGTCTGGTTGCAGTCTCTTTTTTTCTGTAGCCACATTTTACAACTAGCCGAGACTTTATGTGTACAGATGTGACGTAATGACGCAAAGACATGCTCGAATTACCTGCGGAAATCCACCAGTACCACTAGAAATCAAAAACATTATTACAAGCTTACCGTTTTGAATTTTCTCAAATACGTATTTTGGATCATTTTTAACCCAAATAAAGCTACGGACTAAAGCTTTAAAACAACTGTTAATAAGAATTTAAACCAATTTTAAGATGTAGTTTATTCATATGATGACAAATCTGAATTTTCAGCATCATTACTCCAGGCTTCAGTGTCAGAAGATCCTTCATCATTTTGATTGGCGGATTTTCTGGTAAAGAAACATTCATAAGATATCGCTAAAGATTTTTATCAATGTTGAAAATGGTTGTGCTGCTTAAAATGTGTAAATATCAATATTTTTTTTTTAATTATTTGATGAAAAAAAAAAGTTCAATAGAACAGCATTTATTTGAAACTTCTTTACTGTCACTTTTGATCATTTTTACACATCCTTACATAATAGTATCATACCAAAGTACCATGGAATTTCTGACAACCACCTCACGGTACAATATGCATTGCAACCAAGCGGCAACATTCTAATCTGAAAAATGAAGCCTATCCGGAAGTGTGAAAAACTGCAATACAGTACATCTAAAATCCGCTAGAGGGAGGTCCCAAAAGGGAGCAAATATCCATAGATCCCATGGTCCCATGGACTTTTATTGTATTTTTCGATAGGTTCCGAGTGCCTGACAACTGTGAAGGGGGTGAATTTTTTTCTAACTCGTTAGTTTAGATCATATTGAGATATAAAATGTATGACAAATAAGGGAGGTTAACTTTGATTGACAGCTGATAACGGGCTACGCCGAGTGGAATTTGACGTCTCGGCCATGATCTGACACAACACATCGTACCACCTCTGTATCCTTTCTGAACATTTGTATTTTGTATTTGTCAAGATTTTTCAATATGGTGTCGCCCATACACATAAACAGCCTCAAAACTGTTCTTCAGAAAGTCTATGGGTGAGGTCACAGACGCTTTGTCCATATTTTTTACAGTCTATGATTGCAACAGATGTCACGATTCATTGAGATACATCAAAATATCATAATTGGATCGAGAATCTGCAAGTGAGAGAAAGACTGAACGTGTGGGGGAGAGAGAGAGAGTTAATCTGCGGTATCAGTTTCAGTCTCTCTTGTGCAGTTTATTTCACTTTTGGACAGTGCTGCATCTCACTGAATCAGCTTTGACCACGCTGAGAATCGTTGGTTTCAGAGTTTACGCTTATTTGGATGATTTACTTCATGATCTGAATTGTAGAAATTGATATGAATCATACGAGTTCAGCAGATATTTTCTACAAATTGTTCTCCACAAGTTTAAAGTGCTGTGAGTTACAATTACAAAAATGTATTGAGACTAATTTAATTATTGACTAATTTAATCCTATTAAAATGATAATATATATTGTGGGTGTGCATTTTTTTGAAGGCACAACAGAATTTGATCTGTTGACAGATGATAGATGATAGATGTGTTCTGATAGATGTATTCTGCTTTAAAGCTGCTGTCCGTAACTTTTTTAACCATAATTATATATATAAAAAAAACATTTTCATATTATGCCAGTGGTCAAAACTATCTGCTTTCCATAGCTAGATTAAAAACGGTTCGCTTGTAATAATGATTTTAATTCCAGTGGTACTGGTGGGTTTTAGCGGGAAATTCGAGCATGTCTTTGCGTCATTACGTCACACCCGTAAACACAAAGAAGGAGTTTCGGCTAGCCGGCTATGCTGCGCGTGAGGAGAAAAAGATGTATAGGCTTTTCTCACAGGCTCGCAGCACTTCACATAATTAAACTTATGGCATCCAGAAAGATCCAAACAACAATCATCAGTGTCAATTGGAGATTCAGTAGTTATAAAACCCAAAAGACTTCGTACTTCAGATTTAAGGTGTCTAGAGAAAGAGAAAGAAACCATCTACCAACACAAGGATTTAAACATCGGCAGGGCTTTTGAAAAGTGCGTTAACTCTGAGTTTTGAAGGGGTTCAAAACGGAAGAAGAGAATGCTTTTTTTCTGCTGAACAAGTAAGACATTTCAATCATTCAATCGTGTAACAGTACGTTTTCTTAATTCACACAGTTATGGAGTTTCCTTTGTTTTGCCTTTCTCGTTTTGCTATTATGGAGAATATGAATTCTGAACTACACAGGTAACCATTAAACACATTAAATTTAACATGAACAATTTGAGAACAAAGTAGGCTATAATTTGCACAGTTGCTGTAAATCGTGTTGATTAAATCTAACGACGCTTATCATGTCGAATGCTTTTCCCCCTTAGTTGATCAGAACAAAAGTGGATGTTACTTACTTGTTCAGAAGACATTTTCCAGTGAATATTCTTATGCTGTTCAAACTTTCAAAAAGTAAATCTGTGATTGTGTATGACAGTATCCACACAGCGCGGTGATTGACAGCAGCACTCGCCTCAAAACACTGTGTTCTTCCACGCTGTTTCATGCCAATGTACAACCATGTAAAAATGATAATTCCGCGAATAACTCCAATTGCAGATTTCGAACAGAGATGTCGACAAAGAGGAAAAGCTACGGACTGCAGCTTTAAACACTAATAATACTAAAGTATAGTCCCAATGAGCTGACCGACATGAGATGCATTTTATTACAGATTTATGGAACTCCAAAAGCTCAATTGACAGTCAAAACAGCAAGAAAAAAAAAATATCGAGCCACTGTGATGGAGCCAACAAGAATGCCTTACTAATCAGATGTATAATAAGGCTCTAACCACCCCTGGGAGCTAATTTAATGTATTGTATCCTACTGTAATACAAACCCAATATCTTTTCTGCAAAACAACTGCCATTTAATGAGCAATAGCATGTAATATTAGGACAGACCACCAGTATGCGGCTTGCCCTCAAAATAACGCAATTTCTTTGGGATGTTTTTATATCAGTGATGATCTTCATGCTCTTCCAACAAAAGATCAAGAGGCCTAATCAGAGCAAATGTGCCCAAGTCTGTCTCTCAGTGCGAGCTTTATTCTGTCAATTAGACTCCCATTGATTGATTTGCAGAGCGAACTCGACAAATCAATTTCTCCTGTTGTTTTGCTTTTCCAATTATTCCTCCCGCACTGGTTTCATTGAACCACATTCTTTCCAAGAACAGACAAAAGAGGGACAATGCTCATCCAAAATGCCAGCACTAATGCAAATGTGTGTGTTTCCATACATGTTTGGTCTTGGATTGGATTACGGTCTAAAAGGAAAAAAAAACGGCCCTAATTACACCTCGGAATTTGCAGACTCTGGCAGTGTGTGTCTGAGGTAATTACCGCACTGACACACTTTTACATCGTTCCAGGGTGTAATTAAGATGGCGAATTCATGGGTACTAATATTGTGTGAACAGTTGTTAATGACGCTTTGCTTGGAGGAGTTATAATGAAATTATAATGACGCAGTTAAGAAGGTCAGTTGTTTTCAGCAGCCTTACCTTTTCCCACTCTCTGTCTTTGTTCAACACGATCACCACCAGTTTGGGATACACCTGGTAACCGTCTTCGGTAAAGGACAAATCTCTGCCATCCCAGGTCACGTTCATCATGTACCTACAAGAAGCAGAGAACTCATCAGGTTCAGAAATAGAGCAGTCAGGTGACACGAATCTTATCTGCTGCAGTAGGTATAAAAATAACTTTTCATCCTAATGATGTTCGTCCTATACCTAAAAGATCAAAATAACATATGAAGGTCATTTTAAACATGCAAGAAGACAAAAAGAGGAATTAATGAGCCATCTGAAGACTAATGACTGACCTAAATCAGACGTCACATTAAGCGAAGATGAAAAATCTGCCCGAGTTATTATTAGTATCTAATGAAATCTACATGAATCCAACCATTCTTTCTTTTGTCCCCATTTTCAAAGAAATAGAAAGAGAGAGCGTGTAGACATCAAATAGACAATTCCGTGTTCATTACAAGCACGTTAATCGCATTTATTGCATTATATCTGATTAGTCCTTGGTTTTTTCGTGTGTAGTCGCAGAAGTAATACATGTTTGAACCAGAAACAGATTCAGAAGAAGGCGAGGAAAAGCGATTCATACAGGATCATCTACAAGTTGATACAAGTCTACAACACATTACAGTAATTGATGATTTTTCCACTCACACCATTAAAATGCCCACAGAGCATGACATGATTGATAATAAAATCCCGCCCGGCACGTTGGCGGTATTGGTTACTTGTTTGTGACAGTATAAAATGGTCGATTTTGGTTTACTGCAGTTTTTAAGAAGAAAATAGTCAGCAATGGTGCTGAGCGCTGACTGATGCATTTCCACATGGTTTGTCTTAAAGTATATTAAAAACACCACATAAGCATAAACAACATTAAAACAAACTTTTTTACCACAAAATTTCTCGATATTAATTAAATATGTGAAACGCAATATTTTTGTCCGATATTTACTATAATCCCTATAATCATTACAATTTCATTCATCTGAATTTATGAGATGACGATGAGCTTTTTTTTTAGGAACAATAAAACCCAAGTGAATAGAGACAGGATCCTTCACTTTTCACCTTGCCACCATGTTCCTGTCATATCATTTTAAAAGCGATAAACTGAGAAACACATTGTGTAGCCTTCTCACTTTTCACACCATGTCACCAGGCCTCTCTCAAAGACTCAAATGGAAAAAACATCAGCTGACACAAACACATCACATTGCCCCTCTCCTTCAGTTGTTCCAACCCAGTCATTTAGACGTACAATGCGGCACGGGTACAGTCTAGTGGTATGTTTTATGCCGCAGGACTGCCAGGTGAGCAGAATTAGAAGTGTGGTGCGATGATCGATTTATAAAACTGGTCTTAGTGGGCGTCTAGTTACTGAATGGCACGAAGTAGGTTGTTGAATTGATTGGGGTCCCATTTAGAGGGCAAAGAGAAGGCCCACTCACCCTAGATATATCGTTGAATCCAATTACATCAGACTGCGGGAGAGGAAAAGAATCGATAAGCTCTGCTCTCCTCCACTACAAGACATGTTTCCATTTACAATGGGCTCTGCTCCGTTATTTATTTTAAACCTTCTTTTATATTTTACACCTTCTAGTTCCCTTTAGGGAACTAGTCTCCACCTAAAACTGTGAGCCATGTATCATTACACTGATCACACCTGCAGAGTCCCTTTTACCAATTACTGAGAAAGCCAGACACTGGCACAGTGAGTCAATAGTGCGTTAGGTTCTCAGCAGGATCGCAGGAGTGTGAGAGTCGTGCTCATTAGCTTAGTATGTTCTGTCACCACTAGACCTTTGGACAGACTGGACAGGACCAAACAGAACAAAAATATGTGGTGTGGTGTGGTGGTGTGGGCGGTGGGGGAGGGAGCACTGAACCCCCACTCCAACTGATTTTTTTAATCTATCCATCTATCTATGATAGCATAACATTTTTGCCTAGGGTACCAATGAGGACTGCCAAAAAAAGCACAATGCCCTATAATAGCACATCAACCAGACCCAACCCAACCCAATATCCTTTCCATGACCATCTCCACAACATCAATGTAACCTAATGCAGCAAGGATAAGAACCCAACCTAAGCAAAGCTCACTTCTCCCTAATTAAACATATAACCCCTCCTGACCCACACTTGCTCACTGTGAACCCTCATTACAACCGGTGTGCCTGAAAGTGCCACACAGCTGCTCTGGAATCAGAAAGATTAAAATAGGTGGGTGGTACAACTGTCCTGAAAATGTTCACAGTACTTTATATGTGGTCAGACTGAAGTAGGCAGCTGCAATCCAACCGGTGGAGTACAGTTGACAGTTCCTCGTTAGGCATTTATAGTAATGGGGTTGACACTAATGAGGGCAGGCAAGATGTTCCCTATGCGACATATAGAATTTTTCAGTCATTAGAGAAGCGAGAAAATGTTCCTACATGAAGTTACAGTAGTTAATTTGTGGGGAGTCTGCACATCTCAAGCTGAATCCACTGGCATGATGGAACGTGTAAATGAGATCAACTCTCCCTTGAGTAATAACTCCGGACGTGATATACAAACAAATCCAATCATTTTTCTGACACAGGTATCTGCGCAATGCTCACTCAGTGTCATAAGAGAGCATCGCATCGGAGCAACAATACCAGGACAGCTGGGACTGTGGAGGTCTTTTCACCTGGGGCTTAGGCAGGCAGACGTTACAAAGACCCAGGGAATGGCAGAATGAGTGCACGTGTAAACCTGCGGTACTAAGTGCATCAGATACACCGATATAAGTGGGGCACGGCGAGCCATATAAAAGCAAATATGGTCCTGACGTTTGAGGAGAAGGGAGTGACTGGTGTTTGCTCTCTCTCCTCTCCCCTGAGGACACATTCAGGTCAATTAAAGTCCTTCCAACCAAAGGTTTTAAAATAAAAACTTGACTCAAATATGCTATGCCAGGCTTGTGTAAAAAATGGATTCTAGACCTTATGGATATTGACCACAAATACAAATTTAAAAAACATCTTCAGGCTTCAGATTTTTCTTCATACTTTGATGAGATCATTCCACCATATTCAGTGAACCAATGGGTGTGTGTGTGTGTGTTCTGTCTGAGTGTCTCTGTAGACACAAGAACAGTAGAAATAGTCTAATAACCATTGAATTGAATTCTAACTAAATTACAAATTAAAGTACAAGGTAGACTATTGTGGTCGACCGTTATTGGTTTTTGATGGCCAATGCCGATATTTTAGAGAGCAGGGTGGCTGATGGCTGATATAAAGCTGATATAACACACACACATATATATATATATATATATATATATATATACTTGCTTTTCTTTAGATGGCAACTTCTTGAATCTGCAATCCTATAACAGTATTTTTCACAAATAAAGTAATTGTTTACATGTGAATAAAAAGAAAATAAACACTGTAACAGGGAACTCAATCATTTCGTGTGCACTGGTAATCATATTTTTTTTTCAAATAAAGGTAAGGTAACGATAATTTTACATTCAGAACACAGTGAAAACGATATTATTATGACACAGTGGGCAACTGGATGTAGCACAGAATATTTAAAATTAAGGATTTAAAGTACAAATGCAACCTTCACAAGATATCACAGATGGATTTGATTAAATCTGCAAGGTTTGTGAAATTAAATGTATATTAGATATTCAGAGATTTGTTTAAATTATGTAAAGTTAGATGCGCATTTGCTGAATGTTGACGGTAAATGAAAAAGTATTTTAGCCTGATTGTTTGCCTTTTCTGTTACAAATAATATAAAAACAAATGCTTTACTTTTTCGCATACCATTTACTTTCTTTGTTTACCAGTTCTGTCTAACAAAGTATTAGTTATGACTGACAGAGAACGTAAACGAATGAAGACGGAGAATGTGAATGTGCTCTGTGTGATCAGGTGCTGCCGTTCTCTTCTCAGGCACTGGTGTTCTCAGTACCGCCCGTCAAAATAAAAGTTTTGGGCGCCGTTAACATAAAAGTCCCTCTTTCAACACATCGACCAATCAGAAAAACTTATCGGCATTGGTGATATATGGGTCGACCCCTAGTAGGCAGACAGAAAAATATATAAACAGATTATTTTGCTTACTTCAATCATACATCCTATTCAAAACTCCATTCTCATGACTAAAATTGTCTGTGAGCCAGAGCGTTTCTGATTGGCAAAAAAAATTCTGAACCAAAAAAATCCCTTCTTCCCCATAGGGAGGACAGTCAAGGCTCAAGACAATTATTTTAACCCAGCTCTTTATAATGCTCTCCATTGTGCTGCTGCCTGCCAATTTAACTCCCTTTAATGTGATGTGATGGCCATATAAAAGTATTATTTCTACAGGAGCTCATATTTCCCTTCACTCCAGCCAACAAAGGCTTTGAGTTGAGGGTAAAACTCTGGCTCTTTATAAAGCAAAGGCACAATGACATCACTCCTAACCCTCCACAAAAGAGAATGACCTCTTGCCACTGCCAGGAAATATTCTGCCCACACATATAATCCAGCTTTATAACTACCATAAGTCATATTACATTTTGCCTATGAAAGTTCAAAGTAGTAGCAGTGACTCCTGTAGCATTGCCCTCTGTGAAATGGTGTTTTGCTGGGGGTGGTCAGATTGGCTTCCATCTCAGTGGGAGTGTTTAAGTGCCCTTTATTTAAAAAATGTATGGTTCCATAGAGCACATCTGACAGCTACCCTTGGTACCCAACATGTAGGAGGAGGCACATTGGACTTGCCATGCCTCTCCCCTGTTGACAGGTAATTTCAGTATTCGTCACTGATATATTAAGTCTAAATTTTGCTAAGGTCTGCTTTTCACAGCACTTCAGATGTCTTAAATCTGTCATAAAGGAACATTTTGCTTGGGGACAGCACATTTCACCCAGGCTTCTCACACTCAATTTTATCAAGAACATGAAATTCAGAAAAAGGTTCAATTGCCAATTGTTACCCCAAAGGAAAAAAAAAAAATACTGTTCCAGATATATTCCCTATATTACATTCCAACTCAAATACAGAAGATTTTCTATAATTTCCCGTAAAGTGTCTGTATAGGAGAAAAAAATGTATATTTAGAATCATTTATGACAGCCCTTTTTAAATGATTAATTTACAAATGTAATTATATCTATTGTAGTCTATATTTTATAATTCTATCATAACTCCCACTATTAGAACATTAAACATTGTAGAAATTAATCATTAGAAAGTTGACTTTTTTTCTGCCGGTGCATAAATCTCCAAATGTTTTTCTGTGTCAAAGTGACTCAAAATGAACATGTCCCATACAGCGTAAAATAAAATGAAAATCTAATATTTACAGGAACGTGTTGACATTATTCAGTCCAAGAACAAGGTTGGCTTTTCAAAGAACTCGATAGCTTCCCTCGGATGATATACATGCCTAAAAAGTCTAGACTACAAAAGAGACCCCCGTGCATTCAGGCCACAAGTCTTCATCTTTGCTGGCTCTAGTAGAGCCGATCTCTGGCCAAGCCTTTGACCATCTGTGCTGAGACTATCAGGATTAATGTACCCTAGACACTAGGGTGAACGTGTATCTCATGCAACACCACTCCACTGCAAATGGAGCAATTCAGTGTGTCTGCTCAGCACTGGCAGATACAGAGGCATATGGGTGAGACAGACTGGCAACATGTAAGCGGGGTGCTGCAGCCGACATTGGCTCCAACGCAGGAGCATAAAGGAACAAAAGCACCCAGGCTCGTCAAGAGCACTCTATATTTGGAGAGTTCTCCAAGTCCATTAGCAAAATCCATGCTGTTCTGCTCAGCACTGGCTCTCGCTGTGTAAAACATAATTCATAAAAGCACAGTAGCACTGCGCTGTCCCGAGAGAGTTTGAGAAGTGCAGCAGTACCCACCTCTGGGTGCACTCTGCAACTCCCTAAAAACCTCCCTCAGCGTCACACGCCTGCCCCTTCGTCGCATTCGACCATTAGCTTACTCAAGAACGCAGCTCACACTGAGAAATATATTTGCAGGTTGTAACAATGAATTTTGCATACACCCGACCCATGCCTCTCTCTTACAGATCTCTCGGGTTGCTCACACATTTTCCTTTTTCCACTTGACTGACCCAAAACTGTGTTTTCTCACATAAATAGTCCCCTTTTTCCACTTTTAAGTGCAGGAACAAGATGGACAGAAAACACAAAAGCAGCTTCTGGTCCCACACTCACTTTGTAACTTGTTTTTGAAACTTCGAAATTGTGTTTCAATTATATATCTATGTTTACATAGCTGAAAGATGTCAATAACACCTTGTCACCACATTAATATATCTCTATAATGCCAGTCAATGATGTATTTATTTGATCAAAGGTGACAGTAAATTCATTTATAGTGTTTCAAAAGATTTCTCTTTCAATAATATAATTTATGTTAATAATAATTTCTGTTCTTTTAAACTTTCTATTCATCAAAGAATCCTGAAAAAAATGTATTACTGTTTCCACAAAAACAGCACAAATGTTGTCAACATTGACAATAATAAGAAATGTTCCCTTTCAGTCGCTCACGTTCAACATAACGTTGACATGACAACGTAATTGGGGTCACTTCAGGGAGCTCTATCACTGGGCTGGGCATAAGCAATGGCCAGTAAATGAGTATGTCGGGCTAATTGATTGGCCAGTCACTGGCCGCAAGCAGCAAATTTCATATATAGTGTCGCAAAGAGTGTCAATGTTACTTCAGGTTATTTATAATGTATTAAAATGTCAAAGAACTACTAGGCTGATAAGAGATTCCTAGTGTCATGGAAAAAACAGTCGGCTACACCTGGTTGTCACAATGTCTGGTTGTGTTTCCCTGGGTTGTCACTAGAGGTCCTCTTTATCACAGTGTCTTTCACATTTGACTTCATTTCCCAGCATTCTGTCTGTCACTGTCACTCATCAGTTCATTGCACTCAGCTGTTCCCGTAATGATTGTTCCCAGCTGTTCATTGTTAGTCTTGTTAGATCTGTGTATATATTCCCTGCCTGTGTCAGTATGTGTACAGAGTCGTTGTATATGGTCACCACACTTTGGAGGTCTGTGGTGCATAAAGAACTGTATTCTGATCATATGAAAAACTATATGGTTGCCCTTACGGCAGCTAAAACTGATTACTTTGCCAGTGTGGTTAGTTCTGGTGAAGGGAACTCAAGAACCATCTTCTCTGTGTTAAATAACCTAATATTTTAAAACCACCTGAATATTTTTCCTTACATCTTTACTCTGCTGATCTCTGTGAAAGTTTTCTGTCATTTTTCATAAGGAAAATTTAAAACATTCAATAACAAATGTCTGTTACAAAATTAGATAGCTGTCAATTTAACCCCTGTTCCGATCAACCTCCTAATTCTATGCTTTCCTCTTTTGAACTACCAACCACTGATGAAATAAGCAATATTAATAATAAGAGTAAATCTACCACATGTCAGTTGGACCCTAATCCAACGTACTTGGTTAAATCCTGCCTGTCTTCTCTTTATCCTTTAATTGTGGAAATTATACATTCTTCACTTACTTCTGGAACTGTTCCATCTCATCTGAAAACTGCTGTGATAATTCCTTTACAAAGGGGGGCTGATTCAATAACTCTGATAATTTTCGCCCCATCTCAACTCTTCCTTTCTAAAATTTTGGAAAGGTGTGTTGCAGCTCAAGTCCAGAATCATCTGTCTCACAGTGGTCTGTACGAGCAATTTCAATCTGGGTTTCGACCTTACCATAGTGTTGAGACTGCTCTAGTTAAGATTTCCAATGACCTATTGTTAGCTGCTGACTTTTTTTTATTGGAATTACTGGTACCCCTTTGACTTGGTTTCAGTCATACTTTACGGGCCGTACTCAATTTGTACAGCTGAAGTAGTTCTGCTCAAAGACTTCATATGTCATTACAGGTGTCCTGCAGGGCTCAGCATTGGGTCCTCTTTTATTTAACATTTATCTTTTATGCCCTGGTAATATTTTTAGGAAATTTGGCATTCAATTCCACCTATATGCCGACAACATCTGTCCTCGAAACCTTCCGCTAATTTTCCTCCATCTATCCTCTCAGACTGTTTGGCTGAGATTAAATAATGGTTTTCTTTAAATTTTCTTAAACTTAACACCAGTAAAACAGAAAGTCGTCTTGTTGGCTTAAAAAACTATCTGTTGAAATCTATATGCTCATGTGAAAATTGAGGATTTACCTGTCTCTATATCTAAACAAGTTAAAAGTCCAGGGGTCATTTTGGACAGTACTTTTTCATTTGAAGCACATATAAACAGTCTCATCCGCTCTGCTTATTTTCATATACGCGATAATAATCGACTTCGTCCGGCTCTCTCAGTAAAGAGCACGTCAATTCTAGTCCATGCTCGAGTTGCGCCCTGTATTGATTTATGATTTATGTATCTTTTTTATGAATTGCCTTCTAAGGTACTCAATAAACTCCAATTACATAACTCGGCTGCTCGAATCATCAGCAGAACTCCTCTAGCTGAACACATTTCTCCTGTACTACAACACTTGCACTGGCTCCCGGAAAAATATCGTAGTAATTTTAAAATTCTTCTTCTTACTTTCAAAGCACTCAATAACCTTGCCCCTTCATATTCAGGACCTTCTTCATATCTATACTCCCTCTCGGATTTTAAGATGGTCTTCTTCACTCACTCTTGTTCTCCCTAGAACCCGCACTACTTCTATGGGGTCCCAAGCTTTTAGTTTTGCAACTCCTTATTTATGGAACTTGCTGCCACATAATGTGCGAAACAGTAAAAGTATGTTTTTAAAACTCCCCTTAAGACCCATCTTTTTCGGCAGGCTTTTATGTGATTATTTTTATATTTTACTTGTTTCCAAGGTTCTAATAATGATTATTGGTGATTGTTTTATTGTATCTGTAAGGTGTCCTTGAGTGTCATGTAAGGCGCCTATAATGTATTATTATTATTATTATTATTACTATTATTAAAGTCTCGGTTACTAATATAACCCTTGTTCCCTGGAGGAGGGAACAGGAGACGCAACGTCCCATCGCCACGGCTGCTGACCATCGCTGCACGGCCATCACAGCTCCTCAACGAAAGACAATGTCTATTTCTTCCTGTTTATACCCCCATTGCGGGGCGGGGCGCATGACGCTCTCACATTGGCTTCATTGGCACGTCGACGTTAAGTCTCCCATTCCCTCCTTCAGGGAACGAGGGTTACATTAGTAACCGAGACGTTTCTTGAGCAGCAAATCAGCGACTGATTTCTGAAGGATCAGCTTTGCATCACAGGAATAAATAACATTTAAAAATATATTTAAAATATTCATATATTTTAAAAGAATATTTAATAAGAATTTTAGATCAAATACATGGAGCCTTAGTGAGCACAAGAGACTTATTTTTAAACACATTTCAAAAAAATCATACTTGCCCCAAACAGGCACTATTTGATATTTGCACCATATTTTTACTTAACCTGATATTTGATGTCTTAATTAAAAATATTTATTAAAATAAATACATATATGTATATATTATATATATTTGCAATCTTTAGAGGCCATTTTCTTAAAAACAAGTTTTAATGATGGCCACCAAGAAACATAGTTCTATCATTAGAAAGCTGAGACTTTACTTTGCATATACCCGATATGCCCTATGTCTCTAGCACAGAACTCTTTTTTTCACCTTTTGCTTTTTCCACTTAACTGGTCAAAAACTGTCTATGCGCTTTCTCACATAAATATCCCTCTTGTTTCCACTTTTTAAAGTGCAGGAAGTAGACAGACTGTTGACAGAAAACACTAACATATTGTAGACACAGATAATAAGCCCGTTCTCGTCCTTCACTCACTTGTGTAACGCGCTGGGCGGCAACTTGGTTTTCTCCATTTGGCCATAGCAGCTGGTTTTGGCCTCAGGGATGTCCCCAAACTCTTCCAACATGGCTGCAGCTGCTGTGGTTATAATCCCAAGCCCATCTCGAACCCGTGCCTCAAGAGGATAGTCCCAGTCATCATAGGATACAGAAATCATTCCAGAGGGTAACGAATCTGAAGTGATATCTGGGTTGCCTGTGGTCAAGCTGGGCACGATCCAGATGTACCCGAACCCGGTCAGGCCCAGTGAACGGGCCTCTTCCAGGATGTAAGCTGCTTCGTCCTTGGAGCAGTATAAGAGGATGACTGGAGACTGCACCTTCTTCAACTGGATCTGGGTCCTGGTGTCCCCATCCACGGCATCCAGGGTGATGGTGTTCTGGAGGTCCCAACCCACAAAGCTGTTGTCGACCGTTGTCTTCAGGATGGTGATGAAATCCTGGTAGCCTGGGAACTTGCTGGTCACTATGGTGAAGACGTGCCAGTCGTACTCTTCCATGATGTTAAGCATGAGCAGTGCCTCCTGCTGGATGGAGGCCCCGAACTGGAAGAATGTTGATTTCACATCCTGTTGAACAAAGATAAAAAGATGTGAGTCACAACATGATAAATATAGGCTTTCAACAATACATCCGTCCCATATCACTTATGGGTCTACTGTATATATATATATATATATATATATTTTTTTTTTACTTTTAATTTACAATTGCCGGCATCTAACGCTCACTTAAAGTTAAACATTCAAGTCGGCATGAAATAAAATTTGACAAATCTTCTTTTTATATGTAATATTGTAGTGTTTATTATGAATGATTTATCTGTGCACTTCTTTATTTTTTTTTTAATTCATGTACCCTTATAATCTTTAATCAAATACATTACCCTTTCCTCCCCCCTCAAAACGACCTCACTTCTCTTTCGGTCATGTGCCATAGGGAAAGGGTGCGGCTATCGGTGTAAAACTGGCATTCAAATCTGCCTCCATTTTGTTTGCATTTTGTACCTCCAAAGATCCAATCAATTCCCAAAGAATGAAATCAAGGCCCACCCTACATTTTCTTTTCTAATTTCAGAAGCCGTTTCACTCGGATATACATCACAACAAGGAAAAAATAACAATCTCAACTTCTGTTTTATGCCGACTTTAAAAACATTTTAAAAATAATAATATTTTTTAGTGCATCCTTAATAAACTTTTAATTAAACATCAGCTAAAATTCCATGATTCCACAAAAAAATAAATACAGTAGAACAGACAGAAAAAAATAATGATTTAAATATTTAGGGAGCTCTGAACTCAGTATTACAGACAGACAAAGTTAACAAAAGTTAATAAGGTTCTTTATTAAAATGTAATGAGACAAAAAGGAAGGAGAAGAGCTATTATGATTATTTAACTCCTTTGAGATCCATCTGATATGTGCAGCTCTGGCCTTGAGGAACTCATTGTCTAAACATAATGATGCGCCGAGCCAGTTCTTTCTTTCTGAGCAGATTCAATCCCCATGTGCCTTTTAGACTATTCCCTCCAGCGTCCCACAATTCCACAGCTTTAACAGGCCCTCTGAGGAACAAAGGACACAATCATTTTAACATTCATACTCTTGAGTTCAAACTTTTCAGTCATTTTATGAATGAAAGGATCGGAAGATTATAAGGAACGCAACATGCCTTCATTAACCTTTTCAATCACTGTGGACGCTAGTTTCCCATCACCATTTCAATGTCAAACCAATGACTATGGCCAGGCTGTATGGCCTTATAAATGCGGAATGAAAGGCAGCCCATGAATCAGTACAGTTGTAAGATGAGGCATCTGTGTTTGTGAATGTGTGCATGTGTGAAAGATGCACGCAGCCTGCAGTAAGCAACGTGGTGAGTCTGCATATTGGGAGGAAAAAAACGTTTCACCGAGTTGGTTTGCTATTTTTAAGAAAGCTTGGCTTGACATTGCCAATTTCACACACCGGGAAAACTGAATAGACACTGACGCTGCTAAGTAAACACAAGCTAACTGAGGATAACCCTTCACACACACACAACCAAGGTCTAATTGAACACATATCTGTTTTGACAACCCGATCTCACGACCAAGTCGTACGAATTCGACGAATGATTAAAAAGTGGCTAATTCGTAACAATTCATACGACCTCACTCGTACGAATTAATACGATTTTGCTAAATCGTACATATTTTACGAATTGGCCAATTAGTATGAATTCGTACGAATGACCTACCCCTTACCCCGCCCCTAAACCTAACCATCACGTGGGTTTAGACAAATCGTACGAATTAGTACGAGTGAGGTCGTACAAATTAGTACAAATTAGCCACTTTTTAATCATGCGTCGAATTCGTACGAATTGGTCGTGAGATAGTGTTGGTTTTGACCAAAACCGTCATGTTACTTTCAAAAAAACCAACCATCTGGCACTCAGCGACATCAATATCTTCAAACACCATATCAGATCTTCTTCCGGGCTTTGTAGATCTTTTCATTTAATGGCAGCCCAATATAATACATTCATTAAAAGTTACTTTTGAGATATGCAGTTATTATCTTCTGTTTAAAGAGGTCAACAATGAATTCGCTTCATTGAGTGGTCTTGCAATAGATATTAATTAGCCAGTCGGTGGGCTGATAATGAGAGTTTTTTCCCATACCTGTGTCTCTGGTTTTTCTGCAAGACTTATTAAAATGTCACATAAGAAAGTTTCATTCAAGTGATGACTTGTTTTAATAAACATGTTTAAATCATTGTCATTATGTGGGTTTAGTACGGGTAGTTGTCTAAACATAAAATAGCTTATTTTTTTCTTATTTTTTTAGTAACACTGGTTTATTAAATAAATTGTGTCTCTCTCGTTAAATTAATTTAATTATAATTAACATCATAAGAATAAAAGAAAAATCTGCCTCTGCAAATGCAGTCAACTAGGGAGCCCTTACTAACACATCACTATAATATTAAAGGTTACAGCTAACAACACAGCCCAAACTATTAAATTCAGTTGCTATTTATTTTTAGATATAATAATCAACACTCAAATAAATAAATAATAAAAACATGTAAATGGAAGGTTCTGTATGAAGTAATATAATTATACAATTATTTTGCATTTACTTTTCTACCCCAATTTATTTTTGAAATATAATAACAGGGAAAAAGGGTCATAAAACCAAATTTCTAAGTAATCCATATAGACTGTCAAAGACTAAATACTAAATACACAAATAAATAAATAAATAAAATACCATAGTAAATCTAAATTTGAAAAAAATGTATTTAAAAAAAGATTGTTTAAAAAATATTAAAAGTATATTGCTGAGGCTTACTAAAGATTTATAAATCGCACACTATTGGGTCAATTTAAGCCCCATTTTGCATTCTAGGGTAATGAAAAAGCATCACAATGTTATTTTGAATATAGACTCTATAAACTTGATATAAATGTGTCTTTTTTTTGTTGTTGTTTCTTTTTGCATTGAAATATTGTATGCAACAGTGGAAATGTTATGTGAACTGGCCCCTATGAGACTAGACGCATTTACTTAAATGATGGATCGACGACAAGACAATCCTAATTTATTTTCACTGTCTCACCTTGAAAAGATTTTAATTATTACTCAAATGTTATCATGATGTTATCTTAAAGAACCACAGTTTTGAGTGGCAATTTCTTTTAAATCAGATCTGGAGATGTCAACTCAAATGGAGCAGATTATGTTACATGTATCGAATAACGGCATAAAGATTAATCAGCTCAAGCTGCCAGCTCCCCACAGTTGTCCATCAACTCTTCAAGTGTAGGGTTAACCAAACGTGACCTCATAATCATCAGTCGAATGGGTTCCATGTGTGGGGTCAACATGTAGATTGCGCGAGGTGAGTCCACGTTGACATCATTCTGCGAATGAACTCAGTAGACCGAAAGAGAGGGAGGGGTAATTGTCATGTTAAAAACAATGTGTTCTCTTTCTGCAACATGAATGAAACCAACAATTACAGAGACCATGAAAAAGAAATAAAAGACGCTGATGAACAAAAGGAAGATATTTCATACAGTTTGATGTATACAAATTTATTCTAATGTGTGATGTGAAACAATTTATATATTATATTATATTAAGCATAATATAATCTAAATGTATAATGTTTTAATACAATTTATATCCACAGACTGCAGAATGAAAAGTATGATTCACAAAGAACATTTATAAAGACTTTCCATTATTGTCTACAGTAAATGTAATTTCACAGCAAAGCACAGAGTGTGACATGACAGGCATGTGTAATCAGCTTCAGAGGTGTGAAAGAAGATTTGTCTGCACATCTGAAGAGTAGCAATACTACCCACTTTCCTGAGAGTCTGCATCATCTCTGTGTGGTGATTTATGATCTTAAATATTAATATGAATATTTATTCTAAATATTTTTTATTGAGTTTTTGGTCACCCGTCACCTAAGGTGACTTTGACAAATGTCAGATGATTCCTTCCTATATTACGGGGCACAAACCAAGGAATTTCACATTGTCAATAAAGATTGTTGTTGACTAAATTAGAATTATATAAATTGTAGGAAGTTTCTCATCTGATCAATCTAAAGGATTTAGTGAGATTCTGGCAAGCTTGTAGACCCAAGCTTAACACAACAATGACACAGTTTGCAATAATATGAGTTTATTCACAAAAATATACAAGATATCACACTTACTAAATGCTACTAAAGAAAATGACCAAACTACTGAGAAAATTTAATCAATAATTAAACAGAAACTACAAACTACTACACAAGTGGACGTCAACAAAATTAATGCCAAAATAGGTGAGCAACAAAGCAATGAATGGGTAATTAGCATTCTAAGGGGGAGTCAATTGTGGTCTTTATGGATGCTGGTATGAAATAGTTATAAGCATTTACTATGACATGTCTAATGTATCTATGTATACACTAACGCTAGATAAACAATCTCTACACAAATATCAATCTCATAAAGCAACAACCCAATGCTAAGGCCTTTGGGAAGAGGTTTAGTTAGCTTATGTTATTATTATATGTGTATATTATATGTTCCACGTGGTTGGGTGATCAGTCCAGCGATGGGGTATGTCTTCCACTGCTATCTTTCCACTCACAGTGGGAGTAGACTGGATCACTTTCCAACAGTTGCAGAGCCGCACTGAGTGCGCATCACGTAACAAACTCAGAACGAGGGCGAGTTTGCTTGGGAAAGCTTTTATTCATTCCAGTTGGGTAGGGGGTTAATAATTCCTGACTTCCTATGGTAGTGGTGTGATTGGGTCGTAGCATTCCAAGTGTCCGCCCATCACGTCCCACCTTTCCATCCTGTGGAGCTTGGTCTACACCTTGGCAGTGGCGCCTCCAGAAATTTTTCGTAGGGGTGGCCAGATAGGGCCAGTTAAAATCTTGGGGTGGCACACCAAAACTACAGTATAAACCATAATTTCAGAATTGTTTTCTACTGTTGTAATAAACCAGCCTGTAGAAAACTATCAGAAAGACTTAAGGAAACTCCTACTGATACTTTGGTTTATTGTG